CCAGAGTCTGTCGTCTCTCCTTTTCTTCTCCAAGTTCAGTGTACTCGTAGAGTCGTCATCAGCTAGTTGCAATATACTACCTGAGACCGTTACATCTCGTCCTGCTCCTGCATCTGTCATCTAGATCTTACTGTCTCCATCGCAATATCAATTTTGTATATGCGAGCTGACCAACGTTCGTGCCCGTTACAGTATATTGCGACCCTCTTTTCGTAGGAAGGGTCTGGTTCTTGTTCCCGCATCTATCCTGTTTGCATTTGGACTTCTGTTCTTATATTCGTCATGATTTCGCTACCGTTCAGCACCTCGTAGAACAGGTTGCGGCTCTGGAGAAACAGTCGCTAAACTTTTCGTAATAACTCCTGGGACACCCGACACCTCCTCTCCTAGATCTAGAAAGTTCACTGGAGCTACGAGGTACGATACTTCGCTTCCTCTTATTAAGGCTAAGCTCCGGATTGATTTCGATGTACAGTAATTGGTACAGATGAAGCGCACTCTTTCTATCTTGACGTTAACATATGTGGATTGCCACAAATCCTGTTGTGCCCCAGGTTTCGAAGCCCTTTACTAGGGGGCTTGCGCAGCAACTGCCAAGAGCCGCCAAGTATAATCCCGTGGTGCTTGAGAGCACGGGGCTGTACAGTACGGATGTACCTGGGCCAAACATCTCATTTGAGCGCACTCGCGATGAACACATTCAAAAGTAGCAATGTCAGGAACGGCATATGTGGAGCAAGTTTTGTTGGATGTCAAGACTCCATGGTAACATCCCTCTCTGCACCTAAGGTATTTATTGTACCTTACGGTAGGGTCCAATTCAGTTGTGAATTTGGAGCCATTGTTGTCTGGAGTTTCTGAACCCGAGTGTCCCTACGTTATCGCGTTTTCTGCTTGAACATTGGCGAATGTTGATTCAGGCGCCCACAACATTTGTGATGCTCAGACAGGGAGCTCTCAAACCATGTTGAAGCCGTCGCTAGAGATGTGGCCGGTACTATTATCGTGTTCTGTCCCAATGTTTCATTAGCGCCTCGGGGTGGCAAGTAACTTGAGGCAGTTTTGGCCATTCGAACCGGCTCAACGACGGATGGCCTGGGCGAGAGTTGAGCGCGGATGTTGGGCTTCGAACCTCGGGCAACCGAAGGTAGCAATGCCAATTCGAGGCAGACGTACTCAACTGCTGACCTTTCAATTCAGTTATCATTGTCTCCTGAACCTCGGCCAAAGATGCGGGAAGATCACCCAGAGGGGCACGAAGCCCGTCTGTAGCAAGCAGAGTTGAGGCTTCCGATGAGTGCCCTTTTGACGAGGGAACGTCACGACCTCACCGGGGCAGCAACAGCTGCAAGAGATACCTGATAGATACCCGGCAACATAGTGACACCCATCGGCGGTGACCAGACGATCGCAGGGGCAACGATGAAACATGGTGCTACAAGGCGGCAAGAACGGAGATGAGAACTCCCGTCGCAACCATCCACTGTCACAAAGATATAGTAACCCGTGACAGCATGACTGGGACTGGATTGTTCTGCATTCAAGCTCAACTGCTTGAAAGAAATCCTACTGTACCTCGGTTGCCGTGTTCCAGCAGGGTGAGGGTCCAGAATCGGAGATTCAGATCAGGGGGAGTTCCAGGTGACTGTGTGCTTCAAGGCATTGTGTGGCGGCTGCAGTCTAGGTAACTGCCCTAGCAAGTGTGAGTTTCATTGTTGCCTGGGTTGGGCCTGTCTGAAATCACAAACAAAAACAGGAACAGGAAGGTACGGCTACTGTTGATTGTGGTCACCTCGTCACACCGATTGAAATTTTCTTGTGACATCACACGAACTCCGAGGCACTTAGGGACTTCCATTTGTTTCCTCCCATCTCGCTGCATTCACCGGTCACAAACAGAAAGTCAAGTCCCACCAAGGCAAAACCTATTCCACCAAAACTCCTCGCCTTCCACTTGTTTCTGTCACCGACTCTCCCCTCTCTTCTTCCGCAACACTTCGTCACCGAATACGAACCTCAATTCCGAAACACCCCTTCGAGTCATCCATCTGCCACAAGGTAAGTACCATTCCAGTCGCTTTTGAGGTCGTCACCGATTATTCAGGTTCGACTTCCTGCTCACATCACTGCAAGTGTGACAGCCGAGTCGCTGAGTCTGAGATTATCGCTTTGGATTGCACCAGAATCACTGACAACACACCTCGTTTCTGCAGACAAGCCACATCCACTCATCAAGCAAAATCATCAAGATGATCTTCAACCGAATTCTCATCGCGGCCACCGCCGCCTTCGGCATCGCCATCGCCGCCAGCAACGGCGGAACCGACAATGGCAAGCGCGCCGTTCTTGCTGCGCGCGATACGGTTACGAGCACTGTCACAGTCATTCAGTCAACCACTCTCACGGTCGCCGCCACCGGTCCCTGCTCGACCTCAACCGGGTTTTTGAGCTCCGTCACCAGCAGCACCACCACTGCTGTTTCCCACACCTCCACCACCCAGACGAGCACCTCGAAAACCACCTCGACCTGGACCATTCCCGGCGGCTCGTCCGTGACCTCGACGGTTCCCGCCGTCCCGAGCAGCAACACGGTGGTCACGTCGAGCTCGACTCAGACCCACACCCACACCATCACGTCGGGGTCAACCACGGCCACATCGACCACGGCCACTCCGTCTGCATCCACCGTCAACGGTGCAAGCTACAACAAGCACAACATGCTGGGTGGTGTCGTTGCGGGCGGCGCTGTTGCTCTCGCCATCGCCATGGCCTAAGCAAGTCCGCCTTCCATTCTGTCCCCCTTTGCAGGGTTGCCAAGACATCAGGGGCAGCATCACATGGGACTTCTTCAGGTATCCCGAGTTGTATTTCCCCGGTCTTCATCAATCAATTGCTATCACCTTGGCCTGTAATTTGGTGGGAGGAGTCACTTATGGGGAGGTATGGGCTGGGAGTTATTAGAGATCGGGAAACATGACACATGGGGCACAGGAAAGTCGGACAGACAGAGAACACAGTCTTGCAATTTTCCTTCATATCAACAGGTGCTACCAGCAGGGAGAGACGTTGATTTGTTAGGGCTCTAAGCCCGGAATGCGAGACATCCAATTACACTGACACCCTTTGTGGCCCATGGTGGATATACTGTTGATCCTGCGAGTAAACAGCACTTGCCCATACCGGCATCCCTTGCCTGCAGCAATGCCATGCATGCATGCATGATCTGCAGCACATCGCAACCGACTCTGCACTCTTCTCAATATCCTTCTGCAGTCAGAAGGATCAAGTCAGTCTGCCAATTACTTTCTGTCACACAACCCAAATGTACAGATCCCTCGTCATTCCCAAATTGCAGATTACCTCACCTAGTCCACCACTCCATACTAACCTACATCGCCACCACCGACCCTAGCTGGCCGTCTGAGTACCCAACTGCATCCTACAACAACAAATCCCCCGTCTGCCCATGCTGATACACGCCCTGATTACCACCATACTGGTTAACCACATACCCCGCCGCCTCCCCAGCATTCCCCCCAAAACTGTCCCCCTGTTCCTGGATCTGCATCCCACGCATCTGCGAGGCAAAGTACGCGTCCGCATCACTAACCGCCTGCGCCAGATTCCCATTGCCATTCGGTGGATTCCCCCTTTCCGTACGTGGGTCAAAATCCGCGGCCTGCCCGCCCATGCCGAGCTGGCTCAGACTCTTATTCGCATCCGACCGGAGCCCTGTCACGGGGCCAGGGAGTTCCTCGCGCTGCAGGGCGGGCGAGTCCTGCAGGCGGCGCGGCCTCGCGTTGCGGAAGACGGTTTGCACGGGTTTCAGGTAGACGGTGGCGAGGGTGCCGACGTTGAGGCACATCTCCTCGAGCGTGACCGGGTCGAGGCGCTCCGACTCGGCCGTGATGGCGGGCTTGTCGCCCATGACGATGCGCTTGGCCGCCTCCATGTCGGTCGACAGCAGGCGCCAGTACATGTAGGCCCTGTCGCGGAGGTCCGGGTTATCGGTCTCTTCGGTGGCCCATTTGAGGACCTTGGGGACGAGGTCCTGGCCCTTGGTGGGGCGTTGGATGAAGAGCTTGACGGTCGCTGTCAGGAGGGCGAGCTGGACTTCAACGGGCTCTTCGGCGAAGGAGAAGAGGAAGTCCTCGAGGAGGGCGTCCGAGTTCTCGATGCGGCTTGCGTACTGGCCAATGACCCACACCATGGCCGCCTTGGCTTCGGGCTCGTCGAGCGAGTCGAGGTGCTCGCAGAGAGTGCCGATGATGCTTTCGTACTGGTTGGGGTATTTACGGAAGATGTTGCGGATCACGACGGTTGCCTCCTGCACTATGTAGGTGACTTTTGTGGCGACGAGCTCGAGCAAGAGGTTGATACACCGCCTGGCGGCAGGCTCGATCTTGATGGCCAGTTTCCCGATGGCGCGGACGGCTTTTCTGACAAAGTGGACGTCGATCTCGGTGGCGTATTCGCGGAGCTCGGTAAGCACCTCGTCAATGTTTTTCTCGTTGGCGAGCATGAAGATGAGTTCGAGCTTTGTGACCTTGACGTAGATAGGGTCATTGTATTTGCAAAAAAAGACCCGGATGTCGTTGCGGAGCACTTCGGGTCGCCGCTGGAGGATTAGCAAGGCGTTTCGTAGCGCGAGGTACTGAACTTCGGGCCCCTTGGCGAGCAGCGTCACTAGTGGTGGCGACAGCTTCCGGCAAAGAGCGGATATCTGTTTCTGGTCGGAGATGTAGTTCATCAGGTAGAGAATCACGCGTATGCAGGTGAGCACGACTGCCGAGTTGGAGTGCGAGAGGCGCGGGGCGATGCGCTCAGCAAGAAGCGCCGCCTCTCCGGTTTCTTGCGGCACGTAGGACATGAGGGCCTCCAGGATGTATGTCTGACCCCATCTGCCATGCGTCAGCTGAGATCCCATCAGGATGGAACGGCATTCGGACGTACTCGGAGCAATCGGGCAGGATGGCAACCATCTTAGAGGCATTGCTGTAGTCGATCGTGAGCTTGATGGCGTCGCTCCGTTCCCAAATGTCCATCAGGCCAGCCAGAGCGCTAGCTACCACGGTTGGGTTGTCGTCCCTGAGAAGGCTGTTTAACCTGTCGATAAGGTCGGACTTCTCCACCATATGCCTGTCGTGATCGTAGAGCTTGGCGACGCAATAGGCGGCTGTCTTGCGCACGTACGGGTCCGGATCGCGGAGGAGGTGCTTAACGATAGGCACAGTCGACTCGACGAACTCGCGTACATGAATATAAGACATGGTCCGGAGGGCTAGCGCCCTGACCAGGGGATTTGGGTCCTCCATGTCCTGGAGAAGGTGAGTGTGCGCACATGAGCAACAGGGTCGCAGCGGGACTGACATGTTCCAATACGGGAATGGCCTTCACAGCCACGTCGGGGCGCATCCTCGCGTAGTTGACCAGGTAGAGGAAGCACCTGGTGGGGTGTCAGGGGGGTGTGTTTGAATCTAAGGCAGCGCCATGTGCGGACCACGTACATCTTCTTGATCTCGAGATTCGGAATGTTCATGCAGCCTAGAATGTCCGGGAACAGGGCGACCATGTCGTTGTTGCTCATGGTCATGTTGGCGACAATCTTCTTGAGGGCGATCTTCTTTGCGGTGAAGTGCTTGTCCTTCTTGCCGCCGCTATTCAGCTCGAAGCGCAGCTCGGCGACCTTGCCCTGTTCAGGTCCACGCATTGGTGAGTGAACGGACGGAGGAATATATGCCAAGAACATGGTGATGGTAGTCGGAGGATGATGGAGGAGAGCTCATGGTTACAAGGGAAGCGAACGCGGCCGAGGTGCGGTCAGCAGGGAGCAAGGGGAAACAGGAATGTAGGTAGGGCGAGTAGTCGAGGTTCGTCGACGGCAGGGAGCAGGTGACCATCGCCAAGAGGGTAGGGAAGGTGAGGGGCAGCGAACAGAATGAACGTGAAAGCAGGGCGCCGGAGCTTGACCAGCCCTGATTTTTGCCCCGCCATGCTCAGACGGGAAAACACCCGAAAAACCAATGAATGGCTTACCCGAGCGAACAGCTTCGAGTCGCCTCCTCCTTGGGCGCCCGACATCCTGCCTGTCTGTCTCCGTTATCCGACAACGCTAGCGTCGTGTGATGCGGTACGATATCGAATCGGGGGCTGCAGAACTGCGGGCAGCGGAACCACGGCGCTGAGTGCGGGAACCTGCTATGGCTTCCCCAGAGCCGGCGGAGGCGACGAGACGGTCGAGGCAACCACCACGTCAATGGCTGAAGCTTCTTTTGGTGGGACTTGGTTAAACAGTATGTAGTCTCGATATTTAAGCGGCTTGAGTGTCTCGGTTTCGCATGCGGCTTCGGAAGGTGCTGCGAGATAGATTTGTAGCCAACGTGGGCTGTCAACGGATAGTCGGTCGCTCGGATCGCTCGTCTCGGGCGGGTTCCTCAAATGGAACACTTTCGCTTCGTGTCAACGTGGTCAGCTATGGGTCAACAGCTGGAGTCGCAAGCTTTGAAGTCGAAGTCGCCCATCTGATAGAGTCAACAGGGAAGGCACAGGAATTGGGAGTTAGATCCAGCGTGGATCTGACCCCTGAAATTGGCCCCGCTTACATGGCACCCGGTGGAGATGCTGGGGCCAGCTTGGCCCCACTGAAGCGGCAGCAAGCGGGTTGCCAAGGAGCATGGTGAGCTTGGAAGCCAGCTAAAACCTGACATCAACCTTAGCCTTCCAGTGATTGCACTCGACATCATCGCGTCGCGCATTGCACCCGAAGACCACGTCGCACAATGTCCGCCGTCTCAGCATCGATAACACTGCCCGCATGGGCGGCAGAGCTCAAGAACCCACCAGCGCACAAGTCCAAGCAACCCGGCTTTCCCGATCCGCCTGGGTACCCCTCGACGCAAACCACGCCCACCTCGAAGGTAGAGCTGCGCATCACACATTCCTTGAATCATCGCTGATACAACTCCCAACAGAAGAAGGATGCCAAAGACAGCAAAGCCGTGCAGCGGAAAGCCCCGACGCCCGACGAGATGGACACACTTAAGTTGAAGAAGGCCTGGGAGGTGGCCCTGGCGCCGATCAAGAGCCTGCCCATGACGGCCATCATGATGTATATGTCGGGCAACTCGCTGCAGATATTCAGCATCATGATGGTCTTTATGGCCTTCAAGAACCCCATAATGGGCATCCTGGGCACCAACCAGGCCTTTGAACGCTTCGAGACCGAGACCAACAGGGCCAAGATCGTCCAGGTCAAGCTCGCCTACGTCGTCATGCAGTTGGTTGCGCTGGCTTTGGGGATATGGAAGGTCAACGGCATGGGGCTGCTGCCGTGAGTATGCCGGGATTATTACTAAGTGCAGATTGCTGACAAACCGAGACAGGACAACACGGTCAGACTGGCTTGCGTGGGAAGCGCAGCGCGAGGTTGTCGAGCATGCGGTGCCGGCGTTATAGAAGCCGAGTAAAAAGTATGATACATGCTAGATACGCGTACATTCTCAATCGAGTTTCCACAGGATGTGTGTTCTGCAAACAAACACTGGACGGGGTGCCCTGTCGACGTTTGCTTATCTCCGCAGTCATTTGGACCGCAAAGCTCGAACCAGCATTCAGCAGCCAGCAGGCAGAGCAGATCGGCCTTGTTCCGCGCCGCCGTCTCTCATACGGTATTTCACAATCCAGCGAGTCTGAAGCGAACAGCTTCCCATTTCCTCATATGGTTCCGGTTGGTTAAGATGATCCCGCGGCACGAGCAGAATCATGGACAGCCAAAGCGACTCAAACTCTCCGTTTGATTATTGATATGCAAGGTACTTGTGCCAATGCCTGGCGACCACTCAGCTGTTTTGGTTGTGTCCACACAAAACCTACGCAGCTCCATCTCTCAGAGGATCGGGACATGGGTTACGACCCCTGACAGGGGGCCAAATGCGACCTTGATATCCTTTCGTGCATTCCTAGCAAAACTCGGACCGCTGGACGACGAATGCTCTCAGCGAAACAAGGCAGCGACCTGGACCTTGTCTCTCAGTTTAAAATGAGCTGTACCCCGTCACGTTTGCTCAAGTCGAATTGATACCACCTCAATCAACCATTTCAACCCGTGCCCTACTCCTGATTTTGGTGTTGGAATCATTCCCCTTCAAGTTCAAGCTCCCAGCTGGTTTTTATTCTTCACCTCATCTCAGCTGAGTCAACTTTACCCAGTGCAAGATGTACCGCGCCATCTCCCTCGGCATGCGGGCTGTCCTAGTAAGTTCCCCTTTCGACTTGTTCCGGCCTATCTCTAATATATGCCTCTCTCAAATACAGTTCCTTTGCGGCGTGACCGTCCTCGGCCTCGCGGCGGCCATGATCAAGAACCAGGTCGTCGACAGCCCGCCCGTGACGACGCGCTACAGCACCTTCACCGGCGGCTTCGGCATGATTGTGTGCGGCGTTGGCGCCCTCGGGCTCTTTGTGTCCTTCATTCCTGCCCTGGTGCCCATTGTGCTCGACGGGCTGGCGGGGCTGCTGTTTCTCGGGGGCGGCATCGTAGGTCCTTCTTTTCTCATTTCACCCTTCTCCCAGCGCTTGTGGTGTTGCGAGTGACCATCCTTGATATGCGGTTCTCTGCCGCTCTTGACCATGAACAATCATATTTTGAGATGCTTCCTTTGTGTTGCATACCTGTTCACTTCCCCCTCACCATGTCATCCTCAGATCTTTGTTAATCGCCTTCCCTTTTACCTCCGCCCCACTCCCCAATCCACCCCTTTCCCACATCTCATTCCCTTGTTCACCCCGAAACTAACGCCAGACCCAGGCCTGGACAATCGGCCTCCGCTCGGTAGAGAACTGCTCCAACTACTACGAGATGCTCCGCAACCCCCTCCTGAACCAGGGCAGCATCGGCTCCGGCGAGGACACGCGGTACGGCATCATTGGCCCTGACGACGGACCTGATGCAATCGCCTCCAAGTTGCTGAGTAACTGCCAGCGTGCCCGGGCCGACGAGGTTCTGCAGTTCATCTGCTTTGCGCTCGCGCTGGGCTTGGTTGGGCTGGGAGTTGTTGGGCTGAGGAAGGGGAAGGTTGGGGGTGGGGAGTATGTTGTTTGATTCCTCTGCAAGGTACATTCACTGGGTTTATAGACAGGATGGGAACGGTGAGTAGTGACGGACCGTGGCTGGTTGAGCAAGGGCAAGAGGAGTTTGCTTAGAAGAGAACTTAATGGCGCACGACACGAACATGGACGATATGATCTAGCTAAACAAAAGACAAGAGTTAGTCAAAGGGTATACTACATTGCCAACAACCCAGCCTAAACCGACATTCACCCTCCATGATCCATACATTGTCACCCAACTCGTCATTCCGCAACATCATTCCAGTCATCTGCCATACAATTGTCCATCAGGCCATCGATCATACCCAGACATCATCCTCCCCAGTAACCCAACAAAACCGCGCCGTTCCAAGCCAATGATCCCTTACCTCCTCACACTGCTAGCAACACTGCTCATAGTATCACTAATCTTGCTCCCCCACCCGCCCATCCACTTCGGCACCTGTAGCTTCATTCTCACCCTGACCCTACCCTCCACCACCACATTCACCAGCGCAATCACCGCATACGCGGTACTCCCAATAGCTCTAAACGCCGCCAAGCCAGCCACACTCCACAGAATAAACCGCAGATAAAAGTTATCGCCAATCGAGCTCCCACCATACGCCTCACTAACCGCCATAGCGAGCGTGGCATTCGCCACCAGCCACGACACCACCATGTAGGTCCGCACACTCTTGTAATAGTCCTGCTGCATCTGCTCCTCCGAGACCGACGGGGCCGGCACCTCGACGCGGTCCCTCAGATTGCGCAGCGCCTCGTCATACCCGGAATCAATATCCAGCTGCTCCGATGGCATCTCCAATTCGACCGTCGATCCCGAACCCTTGCCGACGGCGCCGCCCAAGTCCGTCTTCATGACGTTGTCGCCCTTGGTACCCCACGTGACGTCGTGGGTGTTGCAAAAGGCATAAATCTGCAGGGTGCATATGTACGACGGCAGCAGAATCAGGTACTGGAGGAACGACGTGAACATGTGCCACGGGTCGAGGTACAGAAACGACATGAAAAAGTACAGGCCCACAGTCGAGACGGTCGAGACGATGACGTTGGTAAAGACGTTGTTGCCCAACGACAGGCTCGGGTCGTCCTTGAGGTTGAACTGGCGCACCACGACAAAGATGCAGGCAAACAGCGTGTAGGCCATGATGATGGCGTAGATGATCATGGACGCGAGGTACATCTTTTTCGAGCCCTGCGGGCGGTTGCCGAGCGACAGGATGAACTGGGTCGAGATGAGGAGGACGCAGACGTAGCGGAGGATGACAAAGATGTACTTGGCCGCGTTGCCACCAAAAGGGTCGACAGTGGGGTCCGCCAGGCCGCCGGCGATGAAGTAGAAGGTCAGGTAGAAATTGGCGAGCGAGAGGTAGGTGAAGATGAGCTGGATGAACTGGTACACGAATTCAATATGCAGCAGGATCTTGCGTGCGAGGGTGTGGTCGGTCTGCCAGATCTGCTGGAAGTGGACAAGCGAATAGACGGCGGCGAAGAAGGCACCGTTGAGCCAACGGCGGCGCTGGGACACAAACTCGGGGACCGTGTCTAGCCTCGGTCAGGAAACAGTCGAAATGCCACAGGAAACGGGTTCGGAACCTACCAGGCACATCCGTCTCACCCGTGCAGCCCTTGACATACTTCAAAACCCATCTCTCGCCCCGCTTGGCCACCAGCTCCCAGCAGAGGATGCGATCCTCAGCGAGGTACATGTTCGCCGTGAAGACATCGGCGTGCTGACCATGCAGCGTCTCACCCTTGAAATACTGGCTGAGCGGACCGTGGCCCGTCTCATCGTTCTGCAGCGCATGGTAACGGTACGCGCTGAGGGCGCCGGGAAGCACAGTGATGTACCCAAACACACTCTCGAGCGGCTTGTCCAGGATATTCGACAGCTTGTACTCAAAGTTCTGCGACGCCACGAGCGGGTTGAGCAGGTTCCGACCCCATTTGCCCTTCATCGCCTTGATTTCTCCGCAGGCACCGGCCACGTTGGAGTCGGTGTCGAAGGCCTTCCACAGGTGGTACAGTGCCGTGCCGGCAGGCCGCGTGCCGACGTCGAGCAAGATACACACGTTGGGATTGAGGGCCTTGCCGAACGCGTTGAAGAACCAGCGGTGAGAGTTGAGCTTCTTCTGGTTCTTCTCCTTCAGACAAAAAATCATCTGGCAGGGCACAATGCCTTTCTCCGCGCCCTTGAACTTGAGATCCGAGTCGAGCGACACTTGGGTGGTGTACTCGTAGACATGGGCCTGCACCGCCTTCTGGTTGACGTAGTTCTTGGCGATGCCGTGCTGGTAGACGCCCATGGCAGCCAGCGCGTCGAGAGTGCGCGGATGGATTTTCTCACGGCCGTCGGACACAATGCAGACGACGATCTTCTGCCACCCCAGCTCTCCCCAGGTTCGACTCCGGTTACGGCTGCAGAAGTGGCTGATGTTCTTCATGACGGCATGCATGGTCCGCGTGAATCCAATCTCGTCCTCGTTGTACATAGTGATGCAAATGAAAAGCTCCGTCTCGCGCGCAGTCCGACCTATGTTCTGGCGCAGCTTGTAGCCCCTCTCAACGAAGTCGTCGGGATCACAGGTCACGGCTGTGTAACGCATGTGAGTGAACTCGATCTCGTCCCGGCGGGGCAGGAAACTGTAGAGAATGGTCGGGATCTTGCACTCGAGGACGAGCTCGCCGTTGATCAGCTGCACCTCCTTCCTGCTCATCTGCGGTGCGCGTACACCGCGACGCTCTTGTTTGCCTTCCGGAACTTGTGCGTACCGCTCCGTCTTCTCGTCAATCGTCTCGTCCGTGGCCTCATCGCTCAGTGTTACCTGCGACTGAGCGTACGAGCCACGGTGCTCTCTGTCGTCTCCCAAGTCCGTTTCAAGCGCAAAAACATCGTCAGTGTCCTCTGCGAGGGGAATGCTCACGGTGACGTCGTCTGCGAACGAATGAGTTGAGCCCCGGGGGCCGGTCGAAAACAGGGGTGCGGGGGGCAGCGGTCGTCTCGGACTGCCGCCGTAGGTGGAAGCGGGCGTGCCGGGTCTGGGGCTGCCATTGAGATCCGCTGGCTCGTATCTTGTGCTGACAGGGGGCGGGCGGGCAAACTCAGAAGAAGTGCGCGTTGGAGTCCACGGCCGTGTCGGGGATGCGGCGTCCGATGCTGGGTTGTAGGAGCTGAAAGAGGGTTCAGGCGGCGGCATGCGCGGCGGATCAAGGATGGATTGGCGCGAATCAAGCGAAGGCTCGTAGTGGCGCCTTGTTCGACTCCTGAGTATTTTGTGTGAGCTCATGCTTGGCTTTGCGGGTGGTTCTTCTTCTCTTGGGGACTCAGACTCGCATCGAGCCTGGAACCGCGCCCTCTTCCTCGGAGACGGGCCCTCGGGAATTACGGGGAGGCTCTTTGCGATCCTTGCCGCAGGAGGTGGCTCTGGCTGCTTCTTTCTCTGCGGCCTCACTGTCGGGCAGTTGCTGGGCGAACTGGCATTGCCCATCCTGTCTTCCGGCGCCGGCTTCGGCCGCGGACCTGTTAGGGCTGAGGCGCTGCCAGAAGCGCTACTCTTGTTCCTGCCCGGCATATCTCCTGCTGGCTGCTGCCCGAGCGCATCGAGCATCTCGGGCGTTGCGTGCTCGCTAGGCAGGTGCACTGGCGGGAGGGGTTGAAGAGGAAGAAGAGGCAGTGAGAGAGAGGGAACGAGAGGAATGTGTGGTAAGACGTACGGCCGGGAGTCATAAGGCTCCTCCATCGAAGTGAGCAGGCGCACGGCAGCGCTATGACCCGGCGTGCCAGTTGGGGTCGAGTCATCGACGTCGCCGTAGGGGGGCAGCGTGTACTCGGGCGGCGGCCGAGAGGGCGAGTGTCGGCCATCCATTGTGGCTGCAGTGGCGGCGATGCCGCAGAGATCGGGAATGTATCGTCCGAGACAATCGACTGCTTGGCTGTGTTACGCAGGTCAACTGGTATGTGCGAGAGTAATCGCGATTGTCGGGCCGTCAGGAAAGTTTAGAGGAATGGGAGAGTCGAGTCTGGTCTCGCAATCTGTGCTTGGAAGGCTGCAAAACTGAGGCTCAGAAACCGGCAATAAGGAAATATCGCGGAGTTTAGATTAACAGAGTGGAATGGATGCGATGATTGGAGATGGCAGGATGTTGGAGGGTTCTTGCTGTTCCTTGGAGTGGGATGTTTACTCGTCCCTCCTTAAGCACGTTGTCCGGACAACAGTCCACGCCCCCTGCTGCGAGACCCACTCAACATGTCGCGCACACACGCATGCGAAAGCTGAAAGCCTGAACGCAACCGCATTCCAACCAGCCAATCACCCGAGACAAGCGCAACCCCGAGGTTCCCATCAGCCGCATCGAGGGTCGCACGGATCATGGCACGACAGGCCATACGGACGTAGCAGAGTATCGTTCTGACAGGATCGACAACATTGAAAAATTGACAGTGGAATATGTGCAGCTGAGTATCGACTCCGAAACAGAAACAAACAAATGCAATGCAGTGCTCAAGTCAAGATGAATCCGCCCGCAACATGATCTATTTACAAGCTCCCGCTCTGTTCGGAGGTAATGCATGTCCCCCCCTGCAGCCTTTTCCTCACTCCTCGTCCGACTCTTCTTCGGCAACCTGCAGCGACTCGGTTAGCAAGAAAAACAAACAACAATAACAACAACAACCACCCTTCAGGTCGTCAGCAGAGATCACTCACCCCCTCATGGAAGTCCCGACCCTCCTTAGTCTCCTTGATGATACCCGCACGAATTGTCCAATCCCCGAACCTCTCGCCCTCATTCCGCTCGGCCGCATACCGCTTGAGCAGATTCTTCATGATCACCAGAATCTCTTCCTCTTTGATACTCGACCGGTACAGCTTATTCAGCCGCTGACCGTGGTATCCACCGCCAAGATACATGTTGTATGCGCCGTACGCCTTGCCAACAAAGGCAACTTCGGCCAACCACGGCCTGGCACACCCGTTCGGGCAGCCCGTCATGCGCATGACGATCGAGTCCTGGCGCAGGCCGTTCTCCTCGAGGCAGGCCTCGAGCTTGGAGATGAGCACGGGCAGATAGCGCTCCGACTCGGCCATGGCCAGGCCGCAGGTCGGGAACGCGACACATGCCGACGAGCTGAGCCGCAGCGCCGAGAAATGCAGGTTGTCGAGTTTGTACTTGGCCATAAGCGCCTTGATGGCGGGGAGGTCCTCGTCGGCCACGTTACTGAGGATGAGGTGCTGGTTGGGTGTGAGGCGGAACTCGCCCTTGTGCACCTTAGCGATCTCGCGCAGGCCCGTCTTCATCCGGAACTCGGCCGTGTCCTCGATCCGCCCGTTCTCGATGAAGAAGGTGAAGTGGTTCATGCCGTGCTCATCCTTGGTCCAGCCGAACGTGTCGACGTTGCTGTCGAAGTGGAATGGCCGCGCGGGCTCGAACGACTTGCCCCAGTACGCCTCCACCTTCCCGCGGAACACGTCGACGCCCATGTCGTCGATGGTGTACTTCAGCCGCGCGTGCTTGCGGTTCTTGCGATCGCCAAAGTCGCGCTGCACCAGCATCACCTTCTCGCAGGCAACGTGTACCTCGTCGGTCTTGACGAAGCCGAGCATCCGGCCGACTTGCGGGTACGTCTTCTTGTTGTTGTGCGTGGCACCCATGCCACCACCAGCCAGCAAGTTGAAGCCCTCCAGGTGGCCGTCGCTCCCCTTGATGGCGATGAGGCCGATGTCGTGCGCGTAGACATCCACGTCGTTATGCGGCGGGATCGCAATTGAGATCTTGAACTTGCGCGGGAGATAAGTAGGACCATAGAGCGGTTCAAAATCCTGCACCGCCTCACCGGCCACCTGCATCTTCTTGTCGTCGTCGTCCGTGAGCCAGATCTCATGGTACGCCGTTGTTGAAGGCAGGAGGTGGTCGCTGATTTTCTTGGAGCAGGCATACACCTCACGGTGATACTGTGACTGCGAGGGCAGGGGGCTGCACATGACGTTGCGGTTGACGTCGCCGCAGGCAGCGATGGTGGTCATGAGCGCCCGGTTGATTGCCTGCATGGCAGGCTTGAGCTTTCCCTTGACGACACCGTGGAACTGGAAGGTTTGGCGAGTCGTGAGCTTCATGGTCTCGTTGCCGAGCTCGTTGCTGATGTCGTCCATCTGGATCCACTGCTTCGGCGTCGAGACACCACCAGGCAGTCGGCACCGGATCATGAACGAGTAGGCAGGCTCCAGCCCTTGGGCCTTGCGCTCGTCACGAACATCGCGGTCATCCTGCATGTATGTGCCGTGGAACTTGGTCAGTTGCTGATCCGCCGCCGAGATTGCGCCAGTCGACGTATCCTTGAGCCCCTCGGCGATCGTACCACGCAGGTAGTTCGACGCGAGCTTGATGTCCTCGTTTGTAAGCGGGGGCGGCTCCTCCGGCAGGCCCTCGACGTTGGCCACGCCAAGCGCTTCCCAGAGCTTCGGCTCCCATTCCTGGTACCCAGTCTGGTATCCATCTGGATCTTGGTCGTCTCCGAGTCCCAAGTCCGCCAGCCTAGTCGCGCCAAAGTTCGCCAGCACTCTGTCAAGGTCCTTGGCGGGCTTGTTGTAGTAGACCCTGTCCTCCTTCCTGGGCCAGTAATGGCTGTCGCCCAGGCCAAAGACGGAGAACTTGACGGAAGCCAGGTCAAGCTCGGTGTTGTCCTTGATGGCGTCCCAGAGCGGCTTGCCATTCTGGGGAAACTCACCCTGACCAGCAGTCGACGTGATAATGACGATGTTCTCCTCGGTCGGCAGGTCCTCGACCGGGTAATCCTCCATGGCCATAACGGTTGTCTTCAGGCCACGTGCCCTGCCCCTAGTGCCCAACCGCTTCGCTAGAGATTGGGCGTTGCCGTTGTCTGAACCGAACAGGATCGTGAGCGGCGCGCCAAACAAGCCCTCGAGCAGCTGGTTGTACGCGTCCTTGGCTTGCCTCTTCTGCTGCGCCCGGATCTCGGTGCCGAAATCCTCCGAGAGAACACCGCCAAACTGTGGTTGGCTCCGCATGAGCTGGGTGAGGCGGTTATCTCTGTCGAGGAACTCTTTCAACTCCTTCTTGATGCGCTCCGAGTCCAGGGAGAAGTTGGGTTCGCCCTTCTTCTCGTTCTCCGGGTTCCATCGGTACAGGGGCCAGTAGCCGATATCCACGGCCTTCTTGGTCTCTTGAAGGACAGTCAGGGGAGAGTCATGCTCGCCAAAATAGGGCAGGTAGGCCAAGACAATCGAAGGACCGTTGAACTTGTCGGCCTCGTCCATGGCCTGCAGGACCTGCGTGTAGGAGCTGTACACAGCCGTGGAGGCGACATACACGTTTCCAAAGTTCATGGCGTACAGGCCGATGTCCTTCTTCCGCCGATTGGCGTCGGCGGTGGCACGTTCCGAGTATGGGGTCGAGTCGATAATCAGCATGTTCACATTCTCGCCTGATGCAAGGACGTGGTGGACGCCGGAGTAACCGAGGTCGTACGACCACGCATCAGACCCAACAAGCCAGAGCGATTGTCTCCGGAAGAAGTGCTTGCAATCCAAGAGCGACTTCGAGAGCCTCGAGTTGTCAACAATGAGTTTCGAGATGGCATCCTCGGCAGCCTCCTCGGACTTCTTGACGTCGTCGGCGTTGGCCACCCATTTTGCAAGCGCCCTCTTGGGAACCTCAGTCAGGAACTGGCCTGAGCTAGCGGCCTCCTTGACCTCACCGACAAACCTCTGTCTCCGCTCTTTCCTTGCCAGCAGCGACCCGAAGCCGAACTCGGGTGTTGCAGAGATGGTGCTGGAGATACCGGCGTTATCTGCGTCGAGAGAGTTGGCGATGTATGCCCTAGACCCGAAGAGCTGATCGAGGATCTTGTTGTAGGCCGTCTCGAGCTTGGGCCTCTCCAGACCGTGCTCGGAGGCCTGTTGGGGCGCTTCCCGCTTCCCAACCTCCAGGTTTTGGACGGGTTTGTCGGAGGTCAGGTTCTGGAACACGCCGCGGAGGGCATGCTGCACCGTATCCTTGGAAATGTATCCCAGCTGATGCCCAACGATGGTCTCGATACCACCTGCGGCGCTCTTGACCGACGTCAGGACGTCAATCAGAACAGGACCCCACTTGGTGGTCTTCCTTGACACTTGTTCGAGGACGGCCACCCTCTTCACCGACTTGGGAATGGCGGCGAGAAGGTTCGCACCAAGCCAGGGCCGATATAACCTTGGAGCGATCAGCCCAGCGTTGACGAATGGGTCGTTAGCCTTCCCCTGGGCGATAGCTTCTGAGAAGAGGGCCACATCGGAGTCAAAAACAAACAGGCAGTTCTCGGCCTTAGCATTGCCACGGTACTCAAATGCGCTGTATTGCCTCCCGACCAAATGAGCGAGCTGCGACCAGATGGCGGTTGCATATTTGTAAATGTCTTCGGAAGAGACGACGGGCACCGTGGGCTCGATGGTGGTCGCGGCTGATGCCACTGGGGGGGAACTAGCCGCGCTCGGCTGGCTGGACTTGACGGATGACTGAGAAGTAACGGTTGTGGAGGCAAGGTCAACCACGCTGGACTGCACACTGCTGATCACAGACTGGACGCTGTTGACCGCAGTTTGGACAGCAGATTGAACACTGCTGGCCGCGGCAGGCGCTGACGCGGTCAGGGGCTCAGGCTGCTCCGAGACAACAGCGACCCGGCCATCGTCAGCGTAGATGTTGGAGCCACCGATGGGGGCTGCCTGGAACCGGCGCACATTGTCCAAGTTCAGGACACTGCGGATGACATCGACGTTTGCGGCGTCAATGGGCTCCTGGCTTGCACTCGAGTTGGGGCCGAAAAAATGGATGACGCCCTTGCCGGAGCGGATGGCCAGGGCATGGGCTGTGAGAGCAATGTCATGGGCCTCCTGCAGCGACCAAGACTGCAGGATGGTCCACCCCGAATTCCGGATGGATGTGATGGCGGTGTAGTCGGGGAAAGTCTTCGGGGAGAGAGCGACATGGAGGACGACGGGGAAATTGGCGAGCTTGTAGAGGTGCGCAACCGAGGGCAACAGGATCGAGGATGTCGTCGTGACCGAGACCAGACGGCCAGAGCGGATGGGAGTGAAGACGGAGAGCAGAGGGTCGTTGTTGTGCCTCACAGACTGGATCTCTGGCACGGCATCGCTGGTCTTTGCGACCAAGCCGGGTGTCTTCTTTGCGGTGAGCGCTTTCAGGAGGGTCGAGAACTCAGAGTCCGAGGCCAATGACGGCTGCACTGAGACAACGACATCGCTCGCGAGGTATGCGATTGCGGCGACTGCTTAATGTCAGTGTTGCTCAGGTAAAGGGCACAGATGCATGACGCAAGCAATTGATGAGCGGCAATTGCTGTGAACTCCCAACATATCCATCATCTTCAACGCGAATAACGATGGTCGTGGGCCAGACGGTTTTCCTGGAACCCGACGCGGAATCTGCAAGCTCGAGTGGGATGGCGGGGTAAAGCGTTACTTACCGGCCTCTTCGGGCGTCCTCAGCTTGACTTCTGCCATCGCTGAACGTCTTCGCGAGGTATGGAATTGGGTGTTCACTAGGAAGAGAGCAGCATCACCAACAGAAACACACTTTTTTGGACCCTGACCCTTTATGCCGAAGGCAAGTCAATTACGGAGTAGAGGGGCCCTATATCGGCCCCGCAGCCGCTCCAAATTTCTCGTCAATTGCACGCGGGCGCAAGAGGCTGGCGATTGCGTGATCGCTTTAGCGGCTCACATCCCGGCTTTTGCCCAGAACCCCAGATCATCCAGCGAATTGCGCGCGCGGGATTTCACAGTCACTTTGTCAAGGTGGCCTCGGCGTGAGCTCCGCCGGTTCGGCTCGCCGCTCGACAGCGGTTGTCGGCGGTTGTCGCATGCAATTAAGAATGAGATATCCACATTGCTACGCGGTGTGTTTCGAGATCTCACCATATCGGATCTAAACTTCCCGTGCCTGCTAACCTCGATGACTCCCTTGGCCCACAGCCTGGGGCAAGATTAGTGTCCCCTGAACCAGGTGGTCAGGCTTGGGGATATGGTCAGTGGAAGGGTAATGTAGCTTTCAAAAGTCGTGGTCTATGCCTTCGTCCTCGCCTGCCCATGCAATCATGGCTCCAAGAAAAAAACGCCGCCAGCTATGCAACCCATCGGAATCCGGAGTTTCGTTTTCAAGGCCAAGTGCAAGGCCCGGCACATTTCACTCCCTGGTGCTCCTGAACTTGGAATTGACTGCCCGCGCCCATTCCTCGTCCTCCATTTTACCGCCCAGCCAGTACCCCCTCCCGACAGAAACCATTACCGTTCCCAGCCGTCCCCTCCATCCCTCGCCGAGCGGTGCGCCGACAGCAAAGGGACCGGCCGACCTGTCTGCGCTAGTATTCCCAGCCTCGCCCATCCTTTGGTCGACAAACTGCTGCAGCACCATCCGAGCGTGTGCCATGACCACCAGACTGAAGTACACCCGGATGAGCGTAAAACCGATGATGAGGACCATGCTCGCCGCGGTGTCGTGGACCCCAATCCCGGCCATGACTTGCGCCGCCTGTTCATCGTCGTGCTGTACCTCGCCGTTACTCGGAGAGCTAGCATCTTGCTCGGCGCCTGCGGGTCCCTTGGGATCATGAATCGCGGACAAGTACCAGGTCGTCGCGAAGGCGGCGGTATAGGCGGCGCTGACGAGCGTGTCGATGGCGTACACCCACGCGAGGGCAAGGTTGTGGAAGGGGCTCTGGGCGCGGACGTGCGGGAGACAGATCGCGAGAGTGACGAGAACGGAGATCGAGCCCAGGTATGCCGTCACCTGCAGCGCCGAGAGCGAGTAGCCCGTCAGGAGGGTCAGAAGGCCATATACACCCGTCACCTTGTTGAAGAGGAGCGCGATCGATATCAACTCGGTGCCTGTTTGGAGGGACATGAGGCCGAGGAAAGACTGGGTGCAATTGAGTAAGCAAGGTTTCCGTCCGATCATTTGATGGCAAGACAACGAACCCTAGGCCGAGGCAGCCGAAGCCATGGACTATTTGGTATTGACGGCATCTCGAAGTGCGACGAGTTATTGCTCCTGGTTGGGGCCGGGTGGAAATGTTTCTCACAACAAAACGCACTTCAGTCGAATGTTGCAAGTCGCAAGCCTTGCCAACACGAGTGGCGCAACATTGGTGCCCACTGACAATGTGCAACCTCGGATCTGTCGGCACAATGGAAACCCGCGACCCTGAGCGAGTGCATGGTGGGCCCGGACATTTGCTGAAACCGGACTCCGGACGAGCTGGATTTCGGACCGTCTCTTATTGATGTGACAAATGCATTTAGTCTGGCCATTGCTTATTCACTGTGGTACGGAGTATCGCGGGCAAGTGTATCTCACCCGTGAGGTGGTTGGACTTCTGGGCTACAAACCTAACGTAAGGAGGGAATGAGACCTTATCCAGTTTTCCAGATCATATGCCACCCCGTCCACAACCCTGAATGGGTGCCGACGGACGGGATGACAACTGGCAACACCTGCTCCAGTTTTTAAATGCCCACTGGTTCTCGCGCTTTTGGCCCAGTGCACTTACACAGCACACCCACACACGCACCCAAAGAGCACCATGATCGATCCCCCAACAGCAGCCAGCTAAACACCAAGCGCTGACGGCATGCAAGAAGGTTGCTGCGATGCTTCTCAAGAGCCTTGGACTGGAGATTTGCTGCAAGTGGGAAGCGCCAGTTCCGCGCGGCGAGGACAGTGCTTATCAAAGTCTCCAGCCGGTGGACCACGGCTTGATCCGCAACGGACCGTCTTACGATGTCGATGCACCAGAGTCTTTGCCTGCAATACGAGTCTGCAACCCAGAAACCACCGCGATAGCATGAGTGTGAGTTAGCAGTACAGAGTTCGAATAGCGTATGTTTTAGAGAAGAGAGCTTAGCAAGGTGTCTATCCTTTCCCTTATTCCCCCACCCCCTTTACCGGGAGCCTTTGCGCTCTATATCCTTACTTACCACCCTACAATCAGTGCTGACTAATCTAGTTCTCCCAATAGCTTATGCTCCTACATCCAGTCCGGTTCCGCAATAAGCCATCATGACTGATATGAGTGTCCCAAAAAGGAGAGCCCACCCGTCGAGATCCCGGTGTCTATCTTTCAGTCTCACTGAATGGGACTGGGCAAACATGATCCGATGCGGTCAAGAACAGCATCGGCGGGGCATCAATGTCCAGTATCATTGGAACATAAACTTCACTCCGCGTGGCACAGGTCCTTCCGAATGCTTCAAGTGTCAAGTGCTGACTACAGTGTAATGGTCCATTGCGTCCGAGTCGTAGATCGTGAATCAATCCTAACACCGTTCTCGACCAGGGATGCTACACTAAGGTTTGGCCATAAAATGATGTTGGGGGTCGCATAGGCAGATGCGGAACAATCTGCATGGCGTTAGATTGGAACTGGTGATTTGGAACCGTCCAGACATTGGATCTGGGAATAGTTCAGTTAGGGGAGTAGTTGATAGAGATGTGAAACAAGATGACACGAGCTTATCATGTATGAACCAAAGACACGGCGACAACGAAGATACCCAAGCTGCCAGACATCATCTAGAAATCCCTGCCAGAAAAGGCAGGACGGCGCACACAGGTTGCAAAGTAGACTGATGGAGGCATGGCGTTGGAGGCATGGCGTTGCCGGAGGACCGCACCCCAACACCATGTCTTCACGAAGCGTCGTTTATTTGCTTGCCTGCTAGCGACGTATGAAACCCTGACGATGCTAACTACCGTAGTATCCCGACTGTAGATGCAGGTACCGATCCAGAGCGTCTAACAACTCAGGGAGACTACAAATAAGGGAACAGCAGAAAGGAGCCCCTTCCCTTCCTTCAAATCACGGCAATGCAGAGCTCGACATGCCTCTGGCGGCGGTATGTATAGGGTAGTTTAAAAACCCCAAGTTCTACCCACAAAAACATCCGCGTCATGATGTGAACCCGCTGTCAGTTTGTTTCGACATCGACGATGCCCATCCCATCGATGCTGCTCACTCAGGTGTGCTTGATGCCCATCCGGTCAAGGTTCCTCTTGATGCCCTTGTCGACCCTCTTGGCCGCCTTTTCGAGTCGCAGGCGCTGCTCCCACTTCTGGACCGTCCTCTCAACAGGCGGTGCGACCCGCTGGATGCCCCGCTCGACGGGATTGACAACCCTGGTTATGTTGCGCTCCCAGCGTGGAGCCCACTTGTTGGTCTGCTTGGAGAGACGCTCGTCGGCGCCAGGAGCCATGAGGTAGAAGGGGGCGAAGCCGGCGGCGCTGGCGGACGCCATGGTGAGGACCTCGACCCTGTTGGGAGCGGGAATGCGAAGAGGCATGATGACGGCTTGGCGGATAGGTGAAAAATGATAAGTAACGGCTGCTGTGTTGGAACTGGATGTTAGTAGTTGACACGAGGTATTGATGGAGTTGAGCAGCAAGCAAAATGACAAGGAAGCGGACGTATTGAGCGGGGCTGTGCCAGCGATGCAGAGTGCATAGACCCCGACTTGTCAAGCCAATATCAGAGTGTTGCTTACCTTTTGCCTGGAGACGTGTGGAAGTCACTTGGTCTTGTTATGCTGATGATGGAAGGAGTCGATCCCACAAGTTGGTTCTGATGGATGACAAGCGGTGGTTGTTGTTATGATGATTTACGATGGCGAACAGCTGTTAGGAGAAGCTGGTGTCGCACAAAAGAGGAGAAGAGGGGGGAACGTGAGCACAACCCCTTTATGATGAATGGGAATGAGCGACTGACACGCCTGGGCCGGAGAGTCGCCGCCCCCCAGCCGTCTGATCACTGGGCATAGCTGCCTGCCGCTTTGAGAACCAGAAACAATCTGGGAGTCCGGTCTGCCCAGGAGGGCTGGAACCGACCAAAAGGTGCCAGCTGACGAAGCGGGGTAACCGGCGGCGGCGTATGAACCCAGCGCCAATCATGGCTTGGAACGGACGTCACTAGCAATCACACAGCTTCTGCTTTTCGGAGAGCTTGGTCCTCCTACTGACTCGAAAGCTGACATGGCGCCATGCTGCAACGTCCTGGGGATGGGCAAGAGACCGCGATTCATCTCTGGTATCGTGTCGTCCCAATTGACTGCAGCAGCCCTGTTAACAGCTACTCAGCCCTCGTTCCCTTGCCAATCATAGCTGTGCCGTATTTCGCAACTAGCAGCAAGGTATGAAGTTGATATTCAGTTTCATCTCTGTCGCTTTTTGGTGTCGCGTTAGCGTGGTAGGCAGGGGCCCAGTGGATCCTAGGCGGTTGAAGCTCCACTTCCCCAGATTCCGCCCCCGCGATGGAGTGGAGTTGGTGGAGCATTCGCGATCGCCAATTCTCGACACTTCTGGTTGGCCAGGGATCCAAGTGGTCAGAAACCATTTATATGGTGTGCATGCTTCGAGGTGCTCCATCGTCGAGTAGTGGCATTTGGACTTCAAAATTTGTCTCTGATGCGCGCGATCAATCAATGGCAGACTTCAAGGGCTCTGCAGCGTGTAGACTCGAGATTCAAGGTGACCTCCCACTGGCATGGCAGCTGAGGGCGCGGGCGGCCAATGGCTCGTGTTTGCCAGCGGGAGCGGCCTGGCTCTTTGTCGAGCCACGATTGGTATCCTTAGTGTATTTGCGGGCTTGCAGAGGTTTGGCCAAGGGCCAGGTTCTTTGATGTCAAGCTGGCCCGATAGTCTCGTGAGTCGCTTCTGGTTTTGGGAAGGCTGAGCCCCCGCCATTCAGCTGTGGAATCTCTTTCCGAGGTTGGCATTGATTTCCAGGGTAGAACGAAGAGGCTTCCCACCCGAACAAGTATGTAGGGTAAGGTACTGATGGGAGAGGCCCAAAACAGCACCTACCGGTGGGCGTGCTAGATTTGTCTACAGTACCGGTAGATGTTTTGTCGGGCGCAGCACCCGAGAACCAATTGCCGCTGGCCTCTGCCATGCTTTTCGTGCTCATGGCTGGATTTGCAGGCTTGAGAATCTCGGTTTCCGTGCAGCACATGAGTACGACAATTGGGGACAAGTGAACCACTGAGCAAACACTCCTGAATATCAGTTCACCATCATGGAGTGCTCAGTAATCACTCAAAGTACTGGAAGAGAACTTTGAAAGCAAGCGGATGTCGATGGATAAAAGAGATTGGAGGACCCTAACCCTGATGCGATAAGATAGCTCACCTGCCCCACTCTGTTGTGAGGCGGTCAATTTTTTCGGCGACAAATTGAGGCCCCAGTTGAGGTTCTCCCCTCGTGACAGACCCATCGGAAACCCTCGAACACAGGCGTCGGTTTCGAGTGTCAAAATGCGTGTCGAAAATTGCTTCTTCTGCGGGAGGCCCGCTTGGCCCAGCAAGGGCATCACATTCATGAGAAATGACGGTTTGTCTTGTTCCTCTACAGCAGTACTTCCGGGCGAAAACACTAACACTAACCTTTTCCTACCCAGGCAAATCCTTCCGGTTCTGTCGTTCCAAATGCCACAAGAACTTCAAGATGAAGCGTAACCCGCGGAAGCTCAAGTGGACCAAGGCGTACCGCAAGAACGCGGGCAAGGAGATGGTGGTGGACAGCACGCTGCAGTTCGCCGCACGGCGCAACGTGCCCGTGCGCTACGACCGCGAGCTCTTCGCCAAAACGCTCAAGGCCATGGAGCGCATCAGCGAGATCCGCGCCCGCCGCGAGCGCGTCTTCTACAAGAAGCGCATGGCTGGGAAGCGCGCCCGCGAGCTCGCCGCCGCCCGCAAGCTCGTTGAGCAGAACGAGCACCTGCTCCCGCGCCTGCGCGCAAGCACCAAAAAGGAGCTGGAGGCCAAGGCCGCCGAGATGGGCGTCGAGGTGGAGGAGCTCGAGCGCGAGGAGCTCGCCAAGCTGCGGAGCAGCAAGAAGACAAAGGTGTTTGGCCGCGAGGTGGTCAGGCAAAGGGTACGGACGGACGGTGGCGTCGAGGAGATTCCTGGGTCCGGGGAGGGTCATATGCACGGGGACGGACATGACTGGGAAAACAACGACGACGACGACGACGACGACGACGACGAAATGGATACCGATTGAGGGGAGTGCCGATGATCAGGTATGGGTCCGGATTCATGCAGACGACAGCCGGTGCGCCTTGGACCTCCTTGTTTGCGGGAGACATGCCTTGTTGTTGGCATCTATCCTCTGCCATAGAGAGAGGCAGGGCCATAGGCTCATCTGGCACTATATGTGTGTCTGCAACGCAGCGGACGGCTCGGAGATCCACGTGCTCCGACCACCTTGTGCTTGGCAGCAATTGAAGCGTCTATCTCTTTCCACACAAGGCTTCTGTCCTTGGGACGCGCTCATAGACACCACGGTGGGACACTGGCGAATCGGCGTTTGATCGGAGTGATGTTGTCACACATCATGGCACGTGATCAGCTAGGTACCCGGTACTCTTTATCCATACGATGGAGGGATGGAAATTACACATTACACTGGATGGTGCGATACTGAGCACATAGCAATTCTCATTTCAGAAGGTCAACGTTAGCTTAGGAGCGATGCCCAGGACATTCAAAGCATTGTGTATCAGGTACATATTAGTAAATTGCTTCCCGTAACGCTGATGCAGACGGCACCCAGGTCCCACCGTATCCCACCTCCCAGACCCGGCGGCGCAGTATCAACGGATATCGGTATCTCCATCCTTCCCTCCAGGTCCTCATCCACATTCCACACCTCATCGGTCCTCCGACCTGCTTCCCATCCCTCTTCAGCAAGCACACCCCTCCTGCTGCGCCGGTGCAGCGGGTGTCTTGACATCAATCATCTGACTCGACGCCTGGGCGGCAGCGTCGGTGCCCTCCATGCCGGGCAGCGCCTGGGCTATCCTCTTGAAGAGCGTCTTGACGTTGTGGCCGAGCTTGGCGCTCGTCTCGACAAACATGAGGTTGTTGCGCTTGGCCTCCTCCTCGCCCTGTTGCGTCGTCACCTCGCGCTTGTCGTTGAGGTCCGTCTTGTTGCCCACCAGCACGATGATGACGTCGTTGCCGCGCTCCGCGCGCACGTCGTCGATCCATTTTCGTGTGTTTTGGAAGGATTTTGCGTCTGTAGAGTGTTGAGGGGTTCGTTAGTAGTGTGAAAGGAAGGGTTTCTCAGGGGTTAACGCACTTGAGATGTCATAGACCACCACCGCCACGCTCGAGTCCCGGATGTAGGACGGGATCAAGCTCCTAAATCGTTCCTGGCCTGCCGTATCCCAAAGCTGTAACCGCACCGTCCTGTCTTCGAGGTACATTGTCTGTCGAGCCTTGTCAGTGTCTGTTGTGTCGAGTCTCCTTCCCCTCGGGCCACCCGGGGACTCGCTTGCCTTGGAGAGGAAGTCGATGCCGATGGTGGCTTGGTACATATTGTCGAACGAGTCGTACATGAAGCGTGTGATGAGGGACGTCTTGCCAACTGTTGTTGTATGTTTAGCCTGCGTTGATCCTTGTGGCCCGCTATCTGACTTGGAGGGCATACCGCTTTGTTCCCCAAGAAAGACAAGTCTGTCGCCAAGATTAGCAGGCTGATCTGGCCGCGGGTTCCTCGGAATGCCATTACTTGAACTTCTTCAGCGGGTTGTTGTACGACCCGCCAGCGCCTGTTTGTGCCATGCCGGTAGACTGAGCGGGAGGAGGGGTGATTTGGGTTGTGGTGTTGCGCGGGATGCGTAGGAGAGGGCTCTGTTGGCGATGGCGCAGGAACAGTGGAGCGCCGAGTTGCGGTTCTGTAATAAAGTGCTGCGATTCGGCTGATGAGCTTATTGGAGCAAAGTATTCTTCAAAGACACTTGCTGGGCGCACAATGGTTGAAGTGCGATTCTTTGTGACGGCGTCGATCGGCGTTCAAGTTTGGCACCAACCCGCTTGTAAGGGTCCTTGGAAAAGGGGCGCGCTTCAACGCATTGAAGCTCTTGGCGGCCGTCATGTCCGCCAACTGCCAGCAAGGTGGCGCTGATGGTCTGTGCGCCGTACAAGGCTTTCGTTATCTTATCGTACTTCCGCTCGAAATTTTGAAGCCAGGACCGACCCCACCGCTCGTTGATCGAATAGATCAAATCAATCGCAAGGACTCGGAACCAGAGGAACATTGGCACCAGCGCGTAGCTTTGGACACTCTTCCATCTCCTCAACGATGCCGGTCTTGAAGCCGCTTTCGGGTGATCCGGATGCGCCCCAACAACACAAACAACCGTCCAGGAAAGGAAAGAAGGCATGGCGCAAGAATATCGACATTTCCGAGGTGCAGCAGGGTCTCGAGGAGCTCAATGAGCAGATAATCAAGGGGTATGCTATGATCCGCTTGCCATCATTTTTGAAAGACGTAGCTGACATTTTCCCAGAGGAGTCATTGCTGAGAAGGACTCGTCGGAACTCTTTACCCTTGATGTCGTCGGCGACTCGGAGCTCACGAAGCGGTTCCCCAAGCACATCAAGAAGGACTTGAAGGCCGACGAGATTATTGCGCAACGATCGGCGGTGCCAGCTGTGTCCATTCGCAAGCGACCTGCCGCTGACAAGACAACCGACGGGATCCTCCCTGTGAAGAAGCAGCGGACTACCTATGTTACGCACAAGGAGCTGGCGAGGATAAAGAAGGTCGCCGATGGCCGTCACGAGCAGACGGTTGAAGTGGTAGACGCAGAGTACGATGTATGGGCTGAGCCCAAGGAAGGGCCTAAGACCGAGGAGCAGTTCGAATTCTTGCCCAAGGCCGAGAAGATAAAGAAGCCCAAGACCCTGGAGTTGGAGCCTATTTCCCTGGCAGCCAGCGGGAAACCCATTCCTGCTGTGCCGAAGCCCAAGGGTGGCCACAGTTACAACCCCGCCTTCAACGATTACCGGGACCGGCTGATCGAAGAAAGCGAAAAGGCTGTGGAAGCAGAGAGGAAAAGGCTGGAGGCCCTTGAGGCGGAGCGCATTAGGTTGGAAGCGGCGGCACGGTCTGCAGCCGAGGCAGAGGCAGCCGAGGCGCGGGCCGACCTTTCAGAGTGGGAGGACGACTCGGCATGGGAAGGGATCGAAAGCGCGGGCGAAGAGCTCAGTGTCAAGGCAAAGAGGCCACGACGGAAGACGCAGGCTGAGCGGAACAGGATCAAGCGCCGGAAGGAGAAGGAGCGGAGAGCGAAGCATGAAGCTGCCATGAAGCGGAAGAATGCCCAGGCGGAGCGCATCAAGCAAATCGCGCTCGAGGTGGCGGAGAGGGAGCGTCAGATGGCGCTGGAGAAGGTCGAGATGAGCGGCGCCAGCGACATGGAGGAAGGCGATGACGTCGAGCTGCGGCGGAGGCAGTTCGGCAAGCTCAAGTTGCCAGAGAAGGATCTGGAGTTGGTGCTTCCTGACGAGTTGCAGGACTCCCTCCGGCGGCTTAAACCTGAAGGGAACCTCCTCAAAGACCGCTACCGCAACATGCTGGTCAGGGGCAAGATGGAGGCCCGGAGGAAGATACCGTTCAGGAAGCAGGCCAAGACCAAGGTCACTGAGAAGTGGACATTCAAGGATTTCTCGGTTTAGGGCTTAGCTGGCCGTTTCCCGCAGCAAATACAACTCGGTGGCTGCTGTGGTGGCTGCCGCCCTTCTTCCCGTTACCCTTCCAGTGTTCAACTCAACCTGTGGCCCGTTCTCCTCCACGATCATCATCGGGTCACAGCCGTTTTGCATCCTGCTGATCCGCGGATACAGTGTTTCGACTCCTGGACGAAGCGAAACTTCCCTCGTTGATTTCATATGCCGACCTAAGATCAAGGAGCAGGGACCGTAGGGGATTGTTCAAGAAAATTCTCAAGGACTGAGAGACTTTGTGGAGAAGAGAAACCAAGACTGGAGCACCATTCGCGACATTGCGTACGAGTACATGAAAGCTGTGGCCAGGACCTACATCGAGTACAAATGGGCAGACCAGCTCAAGACGGCAGTCGTCGACGTTATCAGCCAGCTAGATGGGACCGTGTATGACGCATTCGCCCGTGACCTGGAGCTTTGCCTGAACGATGTCTCAAGAGAGCCGATTGCCGAGCTGGCAGAGCTCGCGCAAATGCTCCTCGAACTTCATCTTGACGTCTACGAGCATCAGACGGATCCTAACAGCGCGACTGATCAGGAGGCCATGTGAACGAAGCTCACCGTTCCCATACTTCTCGTATCCCAGTTAACATGTTCAACATCATACGGATCCTAATCTCTAGTGACCCGGGCTACAAGTCGGAGCAAGATTACCACCTCGGTCCAGCTGTTGTTCAAATTGTTCTTGTCATCATGAAATATGAGTGTCCAGGTGGCCATTCTATGCCGGCCTACCTCTATGCCTGGGGGCATGTAGGTATGGATGGATGGATGGAATTTATTTCGCCCGGAGGCACGAAGCCTAAAGGGCCTTGGCACGCTAACTACATCCAATTCCTTGACGTTCAACCATCAACTCGTACAAGGGCATGTAGGTACGTGCTCTGCCAGGCCGTACATTGAAAAAGACTCACGTGTTTGATAAGCGAGCGCCGCGGATAAGCGAGCGCCGCACTTTTCTACGCGACGCGTTATATCTACACTCAACACCAATTTTCTCATCAACCCAACATGCCTCCTACTTTAAAGGAAGCCAGGGTAATCTTGGCTATCGAAGCTATTCGGAACAACCCAAAACTAAGTATAAGAGCTGCAGCAAAGATATACAACATTGCCGACCGAACCATCCGTCGTCGACTCGCCGGGAAACCTGCACAACGCGATACTGTGCCCAAATCGAGGAAGCTTACGCAATTGGAAGAGGAGGCTATTGTTCAATATGTCATCGAGCTGGATGTACGAGGATTTCCGCCGAGGTTGCGTGGTGTGGAGGATATGGCCAACCAACTGCTCCGCGAACGCGACGCGCCTCCTGTCGGCAAACGCTGGGCACACAACTTCGTCAAACGCCAGCCAGAGCTCTGTACGCGT